GTGTGCAGGAGGCATAGCACCTGCTCTGGGCTGTGTGTCCGGGGCTGTCCGGACCGCGTTACCTGATTTCGCAACCTGCTTCTGGTTAAAAACGTACCGCACTTAGGTAGTGTTTTTATGTTTTAAAGAATCAGATGAATAAAATAATTTCTTACCACTTTCAAAAAGAATCTAAGGCTTAGGTAAATAATGTAAATTCTAAAATACTAAAACAATATACATTCAGTTTTATATTCACAGTCATTTGTGGCAGTGAAGAAGGAACAAGGAATAAAGTGAGCGAGCCTGTGTCTCTAGCTTTTTATGGTTGTTTCTGAACAGTTTGGCCACAAACCTGAACCCCATTTCCAGGTAAAAGATTTGAAGGGGTCCGGAAGGATCTCCAGATGGTTTCATAGAAGTCCCGAGGGTTAAGGAAAGGAAGAAAGAGGCCTGCTGTGCCCTGCAGTGAGAACTCACCCAGGTTTTCACATCTTCCTAAAAAGTCATTTTTCCATTTCTCTAGAAGCAGCAAAGGGCAGTCATTGCTGGTTTAAGGACTGAAGGTCGCGGTGGTGCCCCGGGAGTGTCGTGTTTGAGTGACTTCATCAGAGGCACTACTCCTTTGTGTTGCCAGTTTGTTACTGACGGGCTTGATCCGAATCTGAGTCCTCGCTACTTGGGTGACTGGTTCCTTCACTTGCCCATAACCAAGACTGGAAGAAGCCCGTGGAGATGGCAAGTGAAGCCAGGTGTGGTGGTGCACACCTGCAACCCTGGTGCTCTGGCAGAACTCTGGCGGGCTGCAGCCTGGAGACCTGGCCCGGTCCAAACGCCGCAGTACCAAAAAGGAAGCAAGAAGCAAGGGAGGGTGGATGCGTTCGTTTACATCGTGCCGCATGGGGAAGGGCAGCCAGGGTACCCCTCTGTGAACGAACGAAAGCCCTCGAATCCCTAGGAGGGGTGAAACAAAACCAGGCCCAGTGCGTGTGTAGATTGGGTAAAGGTTGGCCCAGGGCCGGAAGCACCGGGCTTCCTTACTGTGAGGCCTGGGGCGGCAGTTGACGTGCTTAGTGTGAGGAAGCTTGGACAACATTTATCTGGGGCATAAGATGAATTTTGGCATCCAGGCACAGAAACATGGGTCTAGTGCACCCACATTTATTCTTCAGAATATTTCTAGTGATGATTTATTAAGTTTTAATTTTATGAGTTTATATTAAACAGTGAGTACTTAACATGAAAAATAACACAAAAATAAAGTATTGAATTTTTAATATTTATTGAGTATAAACCATTAAAATTTTCAACATTAACTTTTTTGTTGTACTAAGTCTAAAAATCGCATAAGTAAATTCTTATATGAACTACAGTTGAAAATAGAGCCCTTTGCAAAAAGAATTTACTTCACTTATACTTTTAAGGTGGTATGCCCACCGGACAATAGCACGTTCCATGTACTTGTATGGCTTACACTGACAACACATACATTCTGCTTTCGGTCTTTTTGTGGGACATATTTGACATGAGGGGGTTCTTAGTATACAGTGTGCAGTTAACAGGAATGTGAGGCATCAAATGAAGTATCAAGTATGTAACGGATGCTTAAAATAGACATCAACATTTTCACATCTGTATACTTGCTTACAAACCAAAAAGTTAACATCAGAAGTAAAGTCTTCCATGAACTACACTGGAAATACTCAAGGAGCTCTCTCGGGGAAGTAAGCTTGGCTTTAAGTGTCATGCCCACGGCAGCTTCACCTGTGACTTCTGCATGTTCGTGCGCTTACCTCACTCTCACTGACAGCTCAGGGGCCTACCTGTCCTTTCCTGGGTCCTGTCCTTGTGTGGTGGTCTTGCCACCTCTCTTCCTGTTTGTCAGGAGCTTCTGACCATATTGTACAGCATGCACTCGGCAGGGCAGTAAGGTGGATACAATGTCAACTATGGGGTGAGTGCTTAGCACAGACACCAGCATTTTCACATCAATTGTGTACACGCTTACAGAACATAAAAGATAACATCGGAAAGAAAAACCTATGCGAACTACATTGTAAGCCCAAAAGTCTACCCCAAAAGTAGTCTTTGTTTTAACTATCACATCCAAGGCAGTCGATAGACATGAGAAATGCCGGTTTCCTGCAGAAGCGTTGCTTGCCCTGATACCGTGTAGGTTTTGTTTTCCTGTACTTTTTTGTAGTGCACAGTTAACAGCTTTTTTGTTTTCCTATTGTTGCAGTAGGCCATTTGACACTGTGTCTGCCTGTTTACCTGTCAGTTCACCACATGCACAGTTCTTCTGCATAGTTCCTTGGGGAGAAATAGTTTGTTTTTCTTCCACTGTAAATGGTCTCTTACCAGCTCCATTTCCAAGCCTCTAAGAAGGTTTCTCCACAATAAAGTTCGCACTACTGTTTACTTTATTAGCTAACAAATTATTTATGCCATGTGTTTAGGGTCATTTGACCAGTGCCTTGTGTTTCAGGTGGCTCCATAGTTGTTGCATAATTCATATCAGCATGCACGGCACCTTTAGTTTTGCTTTAGAAAGTTTACATCTCATGCTTCCGTTTAGTTGGCCCTCTCATGGTGAAATACTGACATCAGCAGTACCAGTTTGTTTTTCTGTGCCATATACACGGCCAGTGTTACATCGTCTGAAATCTAAAGATTGTACTATACAATTCTCTGTTTTGAAATTGCATCATTTCATTTGGAATGTCTGCTTTGCTCTCATGTACAGTTCCTGTGCTGGTGATGGATCTTGTGCCCGGTTAGCAAATGTAATGTCAGCTGGAAACCAATAAACCAAATGTCGAATGTCACATTCCAGTTCATTTGGGAGGTGGGAGCAACAAGTCTGTTCACAACATCATTTGTTTTATTACTATGTAAATAAGGACCTGGGGCTGAGTTCCAGGGTAATGTCTAGATTGAAAGCATAATGTCTTTGCATCCTTAAGGCTATACATTTTTATGCCACATTTTGACCCATAGCTTTTCAGTATGGTGATCAGTTCCTGTGATCACCATAAGGAATCCCTGTTAAGTAGAGCAGGCCTGTGAATGCTTTCACTTCACTTTGGGAGGTATCATAATAAGTCCATGTTTGAGTATGGCTATTGGTGCATGCCGAATGTTAAATTTGCATGTCAACCTTTGTGTATTTCACAGCTTCTTGTAGCATTTTGTCTAATTTTCAGCATCAAGTGGCAGTATGGGCATTCTATCCAATACATTTCACCCCTGTGAAATACAAAATTCATTCTGTGTTTTCAGACCTAGCATTGAGTCATTTCATTGGGTTGCATGGCCATTTCACATTTCTACTAGTCTCATAAATATTCATATTTTGTGTTCTTTGCCATCTAAATCATTCCCTGTGTCTTGCTCCATTTTGCTGTCAGAGGACCTTTGGCTCACATGGCCAACTTTAAGGTCTTCCTCCTCTTCATCATCATCATCATCATCATCGTCGTCATCATCATCATCCCCACACCACTTTTCTGTTTATGAAAACGTATATTACCATAATGGATCATCTTAATCATCCACAGATGAATGATCTGATGATTCACTTTTGACCTCCAAAACTTGCAAATCTGGTTTTTCCTGTGCCATTGTACTGAAGTGGGTTACTTCTACCAGAAAAATCAAAAGAAAACAAATTTTTTAAAACAAATCCTGGCGTGGTGTTGATGTGTTGGACCGTTTGTGATGCTTGAGTAAATATACACAAAGCAAAGTTGCATGGAGCATAAGGTGGTAAAAGTCCCATTTTGCGACTTTTGCACAAATATGCACAGCTTGCCATCCATATCAAGTGAGTGAACACGCAGACTATGTTCCTGTGTCCCTTGGAGAAAGCTACTAAGGTGCACAGCCTGCTGCTGTTGTGCTAACAAACAGATTTGCGGTAGAAAAGTAAGGGATGGGCCCAAACCCTGATTTGCTAAGAGTGGTTTACCCTCTTAGTTATAGTCTGAGGGCAGATGGTCCTCTAGTTTGGTGGAATACTTGGCATGTCAGTATCTGTGGGTCTTTCCCCTTGGACTTTGTGGTATGCATAGGCTGCTTGGCAAAGAGGACCAGCGGCTGTGTTGGCAGTGCTTTGAGAGCCATTCGCTACCTTTTGTATTTGCCAAAGGTTTTCCTGCATCATCTTTACAATAGCCTTCTTGTCAAGACCCCTGTTTCCTGGCCGAGACACAGTATCAGACTGGGTAGAGCATAAAGGAGTGGCTTACTTGAGCTCAGTGTTATAGTCTGTGCCCAGCAAGGTCCAGGCCAGGAAGGACAATCAGAGAGGAGAGGAGTATGGTGGAGGAGGAAGCAGAGAGCCAAGGATGAGCTGGGGAGGGGGGAGGTGCAGTCTTCCGCCAGCCAGGCCCCACCTCTGCTGTAGGTCTGCTGGGTCTGCCCCTGACTCATTCGCCTCCCAGGGCCCGCCTGTGATTTCAGGAAGCCTTTGGGGGACAGTTTTTATCTAAAGCCTAGCATTCATAAAGTGGGTCCTGTGATTATCTTCATTTTACATACCAAAACCCGGAGGTTTAGAGCCATTTCCAAAGTAGAATACTGTGTATCATAAAGTGTAGTTTTCCAAATTCTGACTGTGGTTACCAGCAAATCCATGTTTCAGCCTATATGTCTACAGCCCAGGTTTTAAAAAAATATGTATTTTTGATTAAACGATATATTCCTTAAAAAAGAGCTTTGGGAGTGGAATGGTGCCAGCTGTAGGCGTGGACTTGGTGAGGACGGCTGTTGTACTGAGAGCTCTTAGAATGAAGGGCTCTGATGCCTTCCTTATGGCAGAAACTCATGTCCTCAGTAAACTTAGTTAGTGCTCCATAGATGTTGGCTGGCAGGAAGACGATTGTTAAAAAAGTTTAGAACTACTGTATATGCTTAAGAATGCTTTTTGTATGTTGGCATTGAATGTCTAGCAGTGTTACATGTTTAGTCCGTATTTTCTCAGTTGACACTAATTCTCTTTTCTTTTTTTCTTTTAACAGATCACGCTGTAACTAGATCACCCACTAACGGTTGCACCAACCACAATGTCAAGGTTACGACAGCCCCCGCTGGTGACCGGCATCTCTCCAAATGAAGGGATCCCGTGGACAAAGGTCACGATCCGAGGGGAGAACCTGGGTACTGGCTCCACCGACCTCATAGGTGAGGGCAAGAGCCGTAGGAGTTGCTGTGGCCAGGGGTTTTTGTGCTGGACCAGTGAGGCAGGGTACATTATTTTGGAGTAGTGAAGCAGACAGAAGCATCTGGATAAAGATGAGTTACTTGGCTTTCTGGCTTTTCTGTGGAAATCATTATTTTGTCAACTGTTGTCTGTATTGTCTTTCAACAAGTCCTTCAGACTTTCTCACTGCTGGTGTTCACCTCTGTTTTGATCTCTTCTGCGTAGCACAAAGGTGAAGCTGAAGCTAGAGCGAGGTCTAATATATGCATAGCTGGGTGTAGGGGACAGCTGCAGCAGAGAGCACAGTGTAAGCATTTTACAGTCCGTTCTGCTGCTTTGCCTGTGAATGCCACATGGGGATGCAGAGCTGCATTCAGGGCCCTGCTGAGCCCCGGTCTGGACGAAGCCATTTCTGAACGCCGAGGGTGCCACTGGTAGAGCGCCGGAACTTTGCAGTGGGATTTACTTTTCCTACGTTGTAACTGCTTGGTGATAGATTGTTTTTTGCTCATCTGAAAATCCTTCTAAAAGGGAACGTGAGCTGGGCTCAGCCCCATATTTAATAACTGAGTTTTGTCTCCAGCTAATTCTTTTGCTAGTGTTAAATGTAATTATCTCATCTCATATTTTCTCTGGTTATAGATTTTGCTCCTTTAGTAGACATGGCTTAAGTTTATTCTTGCAAAGATAGTCTTATGTAAGCCTATGGTTTTCAATGTAGGTCATTCCAGATACTCCATTACCCAAGTGGAAAAATTCTCACAGTTCATGGAAATACATTATACAGGTGGAAAGTACATCTAAACTTGTAACTGGCAGTCTCTGTGGGTGTCAAAACATGACAGTTACTAGTCCGTGTAAATTGTAATTTAGCTTTAGCTTCAAGCAGTGCCTAGTCTTACATAACCAAGTGTATATTACTTTCATAAACCTTGCTAGTTTAGCTTTCAGCCTACCTGTGTTGCCAAGAAACCATTTTTTAAAGAAGCAAGCATAACCTACTAAATAATTTAAGTATTCTAAACTCAGATGATAGCTCTGCTAGCCAAGGGAAACACTATAAAAAGTACTTGGGTTGGAACTTTACAGGTCACTGTAAGAAAAAGCTGCTATTATGTTTCATCAAAACAGCTTTCTTCACTTTCAGTAAGTTAGCAAAAATGTGCTTAAAAATGAAAAAAGATAGGTCTTATGGTCTTCTTTTCATTTTGAAACATTCAGAATGACCTGTTAGAGTCTGTGTTTAAGCTGTGTACTGATTATTAATCTTTGGAGAAAAATGCAGACGAGGTACTGATCAGAAGAGCCTTGAGGACAGCCGTGTGAGGTGAAGCAAGTGTGTGTGAGGGTTTTCTGCTGCCTCGTCCCTTTCTGGATGCCATTTGTATTTGGTCCATGTAACCGCATTTTAAAGACTTTCTGCGTACATAATAAATGTGAGAACTTTTCCCAGTTCTTAGTTTTAATTGTAGGACAGTTGTGATAGACAGGGTTTGCAAAGGAATAGATTTAATATAGGACACATAATTTATAGGATTATTTTATAATTTTCACCCAAAAAGTCAGTTGCAGAAGAGTGCAGAGATCTGTCCATGCACTAGACACCAAAGAATCCAGCTGAGGTCCTGGATCCCACGATAGTGTCCTGTACAAGTCCAGCTGAGGTCCTACAGCCCGTAGCAGTGTCTTTCCCAATCAGTCTAGGCATGCCCATTTCCCCAGTGTGACCACCTTTTAAGCTCGAGTACATTCTGTAATATCATGTGTGATTGATCACTAGAAGAAGAACATACTGATTCTTTTCAGGAAGAAGGTGAATATTCTATGTAGGATATTTTGGGGTATAATTTGTAAAGTTTTCAATGTACTTTAAAAGCCCATCAATAACTTACATTTCTAGTAATAGCAAGAAGTTTTCCTGTAACACTTCTGACAATTTAAGATTCTCTTAGTCTAAGTAATCTGGAATATCTGGACATTTTTATGGCCTATTTTTCTTTTTCTGTCTTTTTGAGACAGGGTCTTGCTCTGCAGTTCAGGCTGGCTTTGAGCTCACTTTGTAGCCCAGGCTGGTCTCCAACTCGAAGTGATCCTCCTGCCTCAGCCTTGGAGTGCTGGGATTACAGGCGAGGGCCACCACGCCCAGCTGCCTACTTATTTTCTAACCTGCTGATACTTGAAGGAATGTAAATGTAGTCTAAAAGAAGTCTTAGAACATGTAAGAGAAAAAGCAGACTGGGAGGGGTAGAGATAGCAGTACATTAGTAAATAACATTGAGTGTGTTCGTAATAAAAATAACCATGGAATAAGGCAGTAATGTGTCTGGATTTTCTCATGTTGGAGGCGGAAGCTGTTAGACACCTAATCGTGGTTGAGTTGACCTGTGTTACGCATGTGCTTGTTTTAGGCTTGACAATTTGTGGCCATAACTGCCTCCTGACAGCAGAGTGGATGTCTGCCAGTAAAATAGTTTGTCGAGTGGGACAAGCCAAAGACGACAAAGGGGACATCATTGTCACAACCAAGTCAGGTGGCAGAGGAACCTCGACAGTCTCTTTCAAGCTACTCAAGCCTGAAAAAATAGGTAAAACGCTTAATAACTTTTTTTATTTTTCATTTTTTTTGTACTGGGAATTGAACTTGGGACCTTGCAGTTGCCAGGCAGGCACCCAGCCACTGAGTCGTATGCCCAGCAATAACTTCATTTTAAAGAAGGATGTAAAAATTAGCATGTCTTTTAAAATTTAAGGTTGGCAGATCCATGCAGAATTGAGTTCCTCTCCTGTCTCGTCAGGTTGGACGCCGTGTGTGTTTCTCTGGTTGAAGCTGGGTGTGGGCTAATGTCTGCCCTGCTGGGAAGAGGGCAGTGGCCTGAGGCGACCCCGTTCCCCATTGGGTACCTGCTTTTGGGCCTTTGATCAGGAGTGTAATGAATCGGTGCCCATTTTGGCAGCATGGCTCTTTAAAGCGTTTGAATTGTCGTGGGTTTTGGAGCTGAGGTGAGCCAGCCTGCAGGTCAGGCTGCACAAAGCCCCTCCCTGTGCCCAGCAGCTCTGGCGCCCTGGGATCTGCACTGCCCCACCTCCCTCCCTTGGCCTGGAGGAGGCCCCGGCCTGCACACGCCTGGGCCTTACTCGAGCGCTTGAGCCTTTGGGAGTCACTGTGGAGTGATAATGCTGCTGACATTCTAGGTGTGCAGGAGCTAGGGCACAGACGTGCAGTGTCTAGTGTCACTCCTTATACTGTCAGCTAGTCGTCTTGGATTGTTTTCCTGTGTGTCCTCATCTCTCCTCTCAACAGCAGTGATGCTGGCTTGTTTGTTGTGACTGTGTCATCTTGGCACCGATACGCAGATATTTATATGATACAGGGACATCAACATAATTAAACCCACGCGGGAAGTCTCTTTACATAAACAAATAAAATATTTTACACATAGGTCCCTCCCTCTCTGCTTTCTGTCTGTCTGTCTTCCTTTCTTCCTTCCCTTTCCTCCCCTGTCAGCACTGGGGACTGCACCCAGGGTCTTCTGTATGCTAGGCAAGCATTTTATCACTGAGCTGTACCTCAGCCCGTTTTAAGATTTTGAGACAGTTTGACTAATTTGCCCTCTTGCCTCAGCCTTCGGAGTGTCTGAATAGTTTTTCTTTTCAAGCATAGGGCTTTGTAGCATTGTCTTTCACAAATTCCTGTATTTTTAGTGTATGTACTGCCAAAATGAGCACAAATTCCTGTATGTTTAAATAAATGAATGTTTAAGGAATTTAAATGAAAATTCAGAATTGAATTTTTGTATATGTGCATTTATACTTACGTTACATTGTATATGGCATACATGTATTTATAAAATATTTGTGGAACATATGACTATTATACATAGTAGTCCTATTTATTATTTGACATCTTTTGTTTTTGATACCAGGGATTGAACTCATGACCTTGTGCTTGCGAGGCAGGTACTTACTCCACTAAGCTAAATCCCCAGCCCTTATTTAACATGTTTAGAAACAGTACTGGAGTTAAAGCAAACATTTGTAGTATGGTTTTCTGGAAGAGACTGAATCATCTGATGAAACCCTGCATCATTTATAGTATGGCCTGCAGCAGATGAGGAGACCCTGCATGACAGGAGTGCCTGTGTCCTGGAGTGCACCCTGGCCAGCAGCCTGCACCTACCAATAGTTTATTATTCTGAGCTCCGGGTGTCTGGCCTGTTACAGAACTCAGACAGAGGTGCTGTCACATCCTAGCAGTGCTGTGGGTGCTGAACTGGGGTTCACAGGGTCGCTTTGTTTGGAGCTGCCTTCTTTTAGGCCCTCCTGGTCTGCTGGGAGGCTCCTGGCCCACGCCTGCATGGTGTCTCTGGCTTGCTGTTCAGGCTGTGCCGGCCCCGGTCCCTTAGTGGTCACCAGTGTGCCCTGTGCCAAGCTGAGTGGCATAGGGTGCACACATGGAGGGAGGCCCTCTTTCATACATTCGTAGGATGTCCCCCAATCATGTGGTCACGTCTGCTTCATGGCCTATGCATTCTCTGAAAGTGATTGGCCAATGTAATTGTTGATTATTTTGTTGAATTTATCCAGTTGATTTCAGCATAACATACAAAAAAAACGTACAGTTGTTTATCATCTAGATCATTTCCAGCATTGGTAACAGTAAAAATAAAAAGAATGAGGCATAGAAAGTTGTGTGCTACATTTGCATGCTATGTTTGAAAATCTGTTGTTCATTGTGGAAGAAACGAAAATGAAAGACATTTGTTGAGTTTTCAGGAACCATCATAGATACATTAGGATTTCATTGATAGTGAAATGTCTAAGGTAGCTTATGGAATTTGAAAGAAAAAACACAAAATCATATAAATGTAATTGATGTATTATAGTTATATCAAATATATAATCAAGTATAAATATAGTCATATATTAATAGTCATGAGCAGGAAACTTTCTAATCGTCTAATGCTTGGCTTGAATATTTCATATCAAGGTTTTCTGAGCCGTTTTCTAAAGGTTTAAATGATTTCATAATCTTCTCGAACAGTCAGACTGTGGTTCATATCATTGCATCTTTTTTATTACTTGCCTCAATTTTATGACTCTTTTAAGCAGTAATATTTCCCAGTGTAGAAATATTGTAGTATTTATTGTTTGTAAGATACATTTGTTTTTTCAGAACTTTTTCTTGCAGGTTTGTCTTCTCTGTTGAATTACATGTGATGAAACTGTAATCCTAGAGGTGTTATTGTTTCCTTTTCATAGATTCTTAGTTGTGGGTTGGGTGCAGGGACTGAACCCAAGGGTGCTCTGTCACTGAGCTACACCCCCAGCCCTTTTTTTAAATTTTAATTTTTACTCTGAGATAGGGTATTGCAGAATTGTCCAGGCTGCTTTGTCCAAGTCTTCCTGCCTCAGCCTCCTTGAGGAGATGTGGAATCTTACTATTTTTAATTTAGTCACTCACAGGTGCCAGGCGTTTTGTATTAAAAGCTCAAGCACTGTGGCGAGATGGGGAGGTGTGTAGTCTTTGTCTCATTTTGGCTGACTTCTCATTCTCCCAGGCATTTTGGATCAGTCTGCCGTGTGGGTGGATGAAATGAACTATTATGACATGCGCACCGACAGGAATAAAGGAATCCCTCCACTGTCCCTGCGGCCCGCGAATCCCCTTGGCATTGACATTGAGAAGTGAGTACCGTTTCTCCTCCGAGCGCTCGCAGCTGCTCAGTGCTGCGTCCTGACGGGAACCCAGCAGGCAGCAGGCAGCAGGCAGCAGGCAGAGATGGCCCGTGCTGGGAGGCTCGTGTCACCGTGGGTTAGAGCTTCTGGCGCTGCTCTCTCCCGCTTCTGCTCACCCGGAGCTTGTGTTCTGTGAGAAGGAAAAGCCTTCACGTGAATGGCAGCATCTTTTTGCCCCTCTGGTGCTGGGGCTGGAACCCGGTGCCTTGTTCATGCCGGGCAGCTCTCTCCCCTGAACTTCACCTCCGGCTCTGCCCTGATGCCGTTTATGATGTGAACCTAGTGTGTTCCCTAGAGCTGGTAAGTTTTAAGTAGACATTTGAAGTCAACATTGGAATTAAAATTACCCGTTGGCTTGATTTTTTTACAAATATTTTGGAATGATAAGGTCCAAATCACCTTTAATTTTGTTTATACTCCCTACCAGTAGGCCTTCCCTACCCAAGTGAAGTATTAACTTCAGTCACGTGTTTCAAGATTTTTACAACTGAATCTGCAGTTTTGTTTTGTTACTCCCTGGAACTGTGTTTTAGTGACTTTTATAACTAGTGCCTTTATCCCTGTATCTTAAATAATTCATTTCACATGGCAGTTATGTCTCTTATTTCTGGACCTGTGTGATTCTGATTATGGCACTACATACTGAATACTGATTTACAATGGCCCAGGTGAAGGATTCCATGAGCAAATATAGGTAGATGCTTAGGACGTAGCAAGTGCCTAGGAAATATTAGTCATCGTTACTGTGGTTCTTTGTTCCTCCTGGATATGTACTGTTCATTGCTCTGCCACTTAGGAAAAGAATTTCTTTCTAATGGCTTCCGTTCATGTGGCAGTAAATTTTAAAATAAAATTTTGAAATAATGCCATGTATGTTTAAGAAGTACGCCAGTGGGGATGATGTAAACAGATTTTTCTTTTAAATTATTACTTAAGCTTTGGTGATGTTTTCTAGCTGTGGAATAACATACAGTATTAGAGGCTAAGTTTTTAAAAAGTTAAAATCATAATTCTCATTTGAACATAAAATGAATAGATATCAAAGCTATTAACTCTAATTAACTGGTGAGAAGATCAGTAAGATTGGTCTTCAGAAGCAGTTAAAGCTTAGTCTAGAGACAGGCGTAGTAGACCGTGAGGGCTGAGTGCTGAGTGGGGGCAGAACCAGCTGCTCTGTGGTGTGGTCAGCAGCAGTGTCCTCACCACTGTCCCTGTGACCAGGGACCCAGGCCCATTGGCCCTGTGCATCCTGTGCCGTCGCAGAGATGTGGAGTTGCCATGTGGCCACAGAGAAAGGCGTGGATCCTGTAGTGGTGGAGAACGCTGGGATGGCCCTCTGCACGGGCCAAGATGTCCAGCAGCCCTTCATCCACCCAAGAGTCTTTTAAAACTTTTTTCCCTGAAAAAGATAGGAAAAGGAAAGAAGTGTCAGAAAGTAAGAAAACAACAGATGCAGGCAGGAAGAGTATAGAATCCAAGAAGAGAGACTACTTTTGGCCAGAAAAATGCTTTTCCAGGTTTGTTTTGGTTACTTTTCTCTCATTGATGAGACAAAATACCCAACATCCAAAGTTAAGGAAGGAAAGTTTTATTTAGCTTACAATTTGTAGAGGTTTCATCTCATAGTCAGCTGGCTCCAAGGCAGGGTGACATGGCAGAGGGGAAAGTGTTCATGGTGGAAGAAGACAGTAAAAGCAACAAGAATGAAAGGGGCAGAGCAAGCTGATTTTCCTCCCTTATGTTGTATGCTGGCTGCCTGCCCTAGGGCGGGTCCTCTGTGCCTTAGGATGTGGACTACTAAGTCACTTAGTTAAGCTCCTGAACTTTGCAGGTTGACACAATGAATCAATCACAAACTCTAGACATCAGCCCCATCTCTGCAAAACCTGCCCCCCATGACTGCATGAAGGTTGGAGGGGGCATCCAGACACAATCCATAGTGAAGGGTTTTTTGTTTGTTTGTTTGTTTTGAGACAGGGTCTCCCTTGATAGCCCAGGCTGCTCTTAAACTCATTATGTAGTCCAGGCTGGCCTCAAACTTGTGATCCTCTTGCCTCACCCTCTTGTGTGCTGGGATTACAGAGGTGCATCACTACACCTATTTCCCTCCTCTTCCTCCTCCTCTTCTTTTTAAGATACTGAAAAGAAAGCCATATTTATTTCACTGAATTCTTTTACCTCAGATAGAGAAATCACTTACTTTTTAGGGGTATTGGAGTCCTGAACCCAGAGCCTTGCACCTGCTAAGGGTATACTCTCTGCTGAACTGTACATAGCTCTAACCTGGCAAGGCAGAGAAATCTCATGTCAAAGAGAAAATGAAGGGAAAAATAAACTGTAAAATGATGTGGGTTTTATTTTTTTGGCCTACTTCATTTTTTCAGGTAAAGGCTTTGGTCTCTGTAAAGCACATTGTTGCATTCAGATTGCATCACATTCTCTGTCTTTTATTTCTGTTCATTGATGTCACATGGGGGTTCTTTTATAACCAGGAGACTTGAGAGGGCTCTTTTAAAGAAATCACTGAACATGAAGCAGGAAGGGGTTAATACTGTTCGCTGGTTGCTCAGTGTTATTGGAGGAGCTTTTGGTGTGTTCCGAGCGCTCTGCTGTGGCCCTGCTGAGTTTCAGGCTGGGGGGCAGCCTCTATAGGTGGACCATGTGTGGCGGCTGCAGGCTGTGGGTCTGTGGGGACTCGCTGTGGTCCAGAGCTGCCATGTGGGGCTGGATACCAAAGGCCCTGAGTTTGTGTGGCTGCTGCATCTGGGATGTGACGATGGAGCAAGTGAGAGTGGCACAGTAGAGTTCCTCACTGCTGTTAGGTATGAGGCAGAGTTTAGTAAGTGTTTTACCCTGGGGATCCAGCATGTGTCCTGTCTTTTAACAACTGCAATTTATTGGCCGCCTTTCACTGTTAGATGTCACTTGATATCCCTGAATTTTTACTTAGGCTTTTGCATACATGGTGCCATGATACTTATAAAAATGTAATTGCTTAGAAAAAGTAACTTCACTTTGAGCTGAGCATAGATAAAAAGAGCCTTGGAAGAATTCATTTTTGGACATCTGTGGGCTGTGATAGGGTGTGTACATTCAGATTAAAATACTACAGAAAAAACCAAAACAAACCCTTTTTATATAGTATAACAGTGTAAGCAGTGTTGCTAAAGCTGGAAAGCTGAAAGAAGAAAAATATGCACACACTAAGAGAACGACCCAAGACCATTCTCCGTCCCCATCTTCCAGTTGTCACTTTGAGGAAGAGGTCCCCGTCGTGGCAGCATGCTTCCTTGCAAAAGCCAGGTTCTCCTAACAGCAGTGCCATTTTGCACACCACAGGAGTTGTTGCTTCAGTTGGGCCTCACACCAGAAAGCAGATGCTGACACAGTGTGAGCATCCAGGTTGTTCATTTTACATCTGTGTACTCCAGCTGTACGCTCGAGGCTCACCCTGGTGACAATGTTTAAATCTGAGTGTGCACTGGCATCCAGTGGAAAACAGTTTTGAGAGGAGCCAAGAGTTGTCAGCAGTAGGAACTGTTTTGACTTCTTGATAAAAGTATTTCTTGAGTTTCCACAGTAGAGCATGTATTGCCTTCAGTCTCCTGCTCTCTGCTTGTAGATTGAATGTGCACACTTAGTTTGAGTCACCTGAGATGCATCCAGGTTTTGCTGAATAGGTAAGCTGAGGCTGGAGTGCATGTGACAGTTACTCTGACCAGCACTGCAGTGGCAGAGACCTGTGTGCCATCAGCAGTGCTGCCTAGTGCTTCCTTCTTTCCTGTTGCTGATCCTAGATCATTACCATTGTCCTTTCTGAGTCAGCTACACTTCTACTTTGCCCCTGCATCTATATCTTCATAGTGTAATAGAAAATGGACACCCCCAAACAGTATATTTCAATTTCTTAGTTGCCTAGGTAATAGTTTCTGTTCTCTTTCCAGCTATTGTCTCTTAGGAATGGCTGGTCACTGTGTGCATAGTTGGTTAAAATGATGATCATTGCATAAAGTAGTCCCCACTTGACAAGTCATTCTGCCTCTGTATGCTTGCTTATCTCACATAAGCCCTAGACTACCTTAGATCAGAGCCTGATATTTTAGGAATGATCCTGATAAGTGCCCCATGATATAAATTAATCTGCCTCCAAACTTTGGGCGTCATTTCAGTGTTTCTGCATGCCATTGCATCTGGTGCATTGGCCTTGAAGACTGACTCTGCTGGTCTCTTTGGTCACGGGTCATGGCCCTTGTGGATGGAGCAAGGATCTTTCCAGGTACTGACAAGAAAGGTGTGCCTGCGAAATTTCTTAAGTACCCTTGGAGGTCTGGAGGAGGATTCCTAGCTCCATATTAGAGTGACTCACATCAGACCCCAAAGGGAGGAGGATACAATCTGTCTGTCTGCCTACCTGCCTGCCTGATTCTTTTTAGGCTCCGAGAGACATTTTAGCCTGTCAGTCCTGCTCCATTGGAGCAGAGGATCTCCATCAACTGTTGTTAGATAAGGCCACCCTCAAGGGAAGGGGGATTGGAATGTTTAACTTCTGAGTGACTGAGTGGACCAGACAGTGTAGCCCATTGGCTGCTCTGTCTGTGCACCAAGACTGGGAAGCACGGCTCAATATGGCTGACTGGGCCATCACCTGTAGTTCTGTGAGGATCAACATATGGCATAACAGAGGCCTCACACCTAACTCTCTGCATGGGGCATGGCAAGGTGGGCATCTGAATGGTCTCTCTCTGAGAGGCACCTGCCCTTTGTCTGTTGTGCCATCATTTAAGGGTATACTACATATGCCATAGGGAGATAGAATGTGAACTAATTAGTGAAAACTTGCAGTCCCTAATTGCAGGAAAATAGACTTTCAAAGGGATTAAAATGAAACCAAAGTGCTCCCTGCATTTCAAAGAAAACGGAAAAATAAGGCCCATTTTTTCTGGTAATTC